GCTTCCCCGAGGTCCAGGTTTTCCACTTGCTCCATTGGTGCCTGGAACACCTGGAGGACCCTGGAAAACATTGAATGAATTTATATCTTAATGTAAGACATGTTTGGGGAATGAGGATGCATTTGAAATTTAAATCAGATGAGATGACGGTGAAGTCACTGATCCTGTAATTCTAAATAAATATGTGACTCAAGTTTAACAACAACACAGTCAGACGTTACTGTCTGTCTTAAAGAGTCAACAACTTTCATCTGTGATCCGTTGCAGATGAATTGTCTTTCCCCCCCCCCCTCTTCCAGTTCATTCCTGGATCATCATAAGTCAAACTCACAGCTGGGCCCTCGATTCCTTTGGTCCCTTCATCTCCGGGTCGACCCTAAGAGGAACAACATTAACTTCAGCATATGTTTTAAAATCCAGTAAAACTAAAATGTAGATATTAGTATAACTGTGAAGAACACTAACAGGTGACCAAACAATAGGTAGACATTAGCGCATCTTAAGAAATGTTCTACTTCTCACCAGAGGTCCTGGGAGTCCTCTCTCTCCAGGAGAACCTGGACGACCCTAGAAATAAAAGAGAAGAGGAGAGAGAGTGAGAAAGACAGAGAGAGAGAATGAAAGGAATTGATATTATTACTGAAGGTCATCTAGTGCAACGTGATGTGTTCAAGGCCATTTTGGCAACATTTTAGTTGTCGATTTTCTAGTGCACTTGTACGTTTTTTTTTTTTTTTTTGCTGACAGGACAACAATGATCCCTGCTTGTTCACTATTGGCTTTAAAGCAGAAGTTGACAGCTGACATATCAGACTTTTCAGTGCTGTCTGGCCTCACTGTAGCGCAGATTGATGGGTTTCACCACAGTGAGTGAGCAGAACAGACGCAGCAGTGGGGCTGAGATGAGCTGCTCAACCTCATCTGTGTGAAAATGACTGTTGTCCTGCAAAAAGACGGTCTTATATCTGTGTTCAGCCAACCAAGACACAGACAGATTGAACACATACAGAGTAAGAGCATTACACTCTGTGTTCAGCCAACCAAAGACACAGACGGATTCAAGGCATGAACACATACAGAGTAAGAGCATTACAGAGAGAAAAAGGAGCTAAGATACTGTAGCTAAGATATGGGTTCCCATACTTCTGCATATCTGATGGGTGCCCCCTTTTGTAAACAAATTTCGACACTCATTTTTATATACATATAATGTATACAGTAATGTCATTTCCCAGCTTGGGATCAAGTCTGTCTGTCTGTTTATCTATCTATCTACCGTAATTTCCGGACTATCGAGCACACCTGAATATAAGCTGCACCCATTAATTTTAACATGGGATATTTATACAGATAGATGTTACAAAGAAATATTCTTTTCACTTTTAATGAAATAAATGCTTTTTTCTGAACAGTACCTGTAACACGGCTGGTTACACGTTAGCTCTTTCCTGCTTCGGCGCCCTGAACGTCGTTGTAATGGACAGGGGAGACTTAGTGATCTGCTCCAGGGCCGAAGCTAACATTAGCTCCAGTGCTAACTCCCTTCACTTTGTGCTTGTCCACAGCAGAGGTAAACAGAAACAGGGAAGTTGGGGTCTTTATTATCAGCCTCCCCACACACAATAGAACACAAACAGTGTTTTAACAGCTCATGTATAACCAACTCACACTTCAACATGACAGGGGCTCAACTGCTCTCACTTTCACTAACATTCTTTCTCGGGCATGGCCACACGCACATATACTCACACAGCCATTCACAGACAGACATACATTACTAGTATAACACAAAGTAGCCTACCAGAAAAGTCACTGATCGCTAGCAGTATTACCTTTGTTAGGCCGTAAAAATCCATTGCTAGTTGCATCATTGTTTAAGCCGCAGGGTTCAAAGTGTGTGAAAAAAGTAGCGGCTTATAGTCCAGAAATTACGGTATATTACACGCACCTTCAGATACATATTTATAGAGGCTGCATTTTGCGTTTTATGGGTAGAATGACCTTATAATAATAAATTGCTCCAATGACTGAGATCAGGACAGTCAGTCAGGCTACGATTGACAGTCGTTAGACACACAACAGTCGGAGGGACTGTCCTGGACTTTAGACTGATTAATATTGTTGAGGACAACGACTGGACTCAAGGTTAGAAAGAAACTCTCCACACGTTCTGCAAGAGATTTTGCTGGACATTTTTTACAGATGAATTATTATACTTTTTGTTCCTTCTCTTTTGTAAACCCAGGGCAACAAAAATCAGTCATCCAAAGTTTAGAGAAGCAGAGAGAGAGTAATAGCGCCTCCGTTTGGCTGTTATAATAAGTTGCACTTATTGCTTAGCCACAAGTTATTATTACATATTTATTGCTAGCCACAAGTTATTATTACATATTTATTGACAAACAGATTAAAACAACTGAAAATGTATCAGTGAAATTAAAAACAAAAACAATAATACCAATACAGTGGGGGCAATTCTACTGATTATTAATTCATATTATTAATGATCTCAGATAAGTTCAGTAAACTTGACCTTTAACTCCTACATCAATTTTAACAACCACATTGTTTGATTGGCCAATTAAAATGAATGAAGAAGTATAAAGTACTTAAATATCAAACTTACAGGAGGTCCTAGTTTTCCAACAGGTCCAGGTAATCCACGTATACCCTGCTCCCCCTAGTGGAATAAAAAATAAAAGTTTTTGATTGAAGTATTTCTTTTGACATTGTTCGTTTTTAAAAAACTCCTGGATGATACGATGATGAAGAAAAGACAGGTGAAATAGTATCGACAGAAGATCGTACCCTTTCACCTGGCATACCCGGAGGCCCACGCATTCCTCCATTTCCCTGAATGCCCTAGAAGACAAAATAACACAAACATATTTATTAACCACCAGATCAACAGATACTTCCACCCCCCCACACACTCACTCTTCAGGCAGTAATATATGACCAATAACATATAGCAAATATATATTTGGACACAGCGATTTTTATTAAAACACTGTCACATAATCCCACTTGTAAACTGTTAATAAATGTCAAGATACAACAATTAGAAAACAACAGAAGAACTGACATTTGATGAAACTTCCCATTTAAGCAGTTTTAAGAGCTGAAGAAAAGCCTCAGAAAGTAAACTGTGGTAAACCACGTATTTGATCCAACAAGCCAGTGGTACTGAAAGGCAGTCTGTACATATTTTACATATTAAGAGCAGCAATGATTCAAAAACATTAAAGATAGTTATTCAATAAACAAAGTATTTCAATAAAGTACTACTGTAATTCATTTTTGTAATCATGAAGAAGTCACCAGTCTCCACCATCATAAATTAATGATGATCAATTGACAGCTAGCCTGTCATTAATCTAATTAAAGGATTTGAATTGATTGACAGCCATCCTCTCTCTTTGTGTTTTCCATGTGACAGACACAACATGAAGCACTTACATACATGCCTACTGGGCCCTGAGGTCCCTCCACACCAGACTTGCCACTGAAGCCCTGAGGAGACACAGCGTGTTAAGAACAAATAAAAGACAACATCACTTTTGGACGTTTGGCTGGACTCACCCTCTCTCCTGGAGGTCCTGTGAAACCAGGAGGTCCTGTCTTCCCTGGTGGACCCTGTCAGATAAAGAACCTTGTTACTCAACGAAATTACCAGTCAACTTGGACCTGTCTGAATACTGAATACAATAGTTAGGACAGTGTCAGAGAATGATTAACTACAGGTTACTTTCTTGATAACTGCAGTTTAAACCTCCCTGTTCTCATCAGCAATTGTTTGAATACGTTTGTTTCAAGAGCTGATAACCATGTTACGGTACTTCAAAAAAAAAAATCCCACACAGTGGTTCAGGGACAGGACTTACCATTGGACCTGGGGGTCCATCTGCTCCTGACTCCCCGACAATGCCAGGAAAACCCTTGACAAATAGAAAGTACAAGTAAAACACCATGATCTAAGCAAAAGACCTCGGAAAATTTGAAAGCGTTTGTCATCTCTGTGATAATTAAGGAGAACGTGCAGTCAAGACAAACTGTGAATCAGCACTTCAGCTGCTTCATCAACCGTGTTATTGCTTTTAGTCTTTTCATTTGACTCAAGTCTCAAAGTCATACTCCCTTTAATTATGGACATGGGTAATTTAAAGGCTGCGTTGGTCTTCAGTATTGTTGTAATATGACGTTAAAGTTGGAAAATCAGCGAAGGCAAACTAAAGTCTGTGTCCAGGACATCATCTTAGGCAGATCTTAGCATTGGCCACGTTTGCCTAGGGCGCCACCTACTTGAAAGGGAGATGATGTCACCCTGAGCAAAAATAATTACAACAAAAATACTATAAATAACACCAAAGTGTTTTTTTTTACTTGTCTTGAAAATAACAAAATGTATAAAAGGAAAAAAAAAATAGTGTTACATGAACAGACTTCAATTCTACCCACAATCCAACTTTTATTTATTTATTTTATATATATATTTTTAAAATTTTTTTGTTATATTAATTTGAATTATCTGTCCAACTGCAACCCTGGCTTTCTTTGTGTAATTTCATTCAATTATTATTTTTTATCATTATTTGAAAAGACTGGGGGCCTGAGGACGTCACAGACTGGGGGCCTGAGGGGCACTTTAGTATTTCAGTAAAATGATAGGCAGAACTTTCACATTTCAACTGCTCTCCCATCACTGTAGTGTGTTGTTACTGTTTACTCCATGGGCCAATCAGTGTAGTGGACACTGGTTTCTTTCTAAGGAGGTCTAAGTAGGGAGCCTGGTGGTGCTGAAGGTCAGCTGTCACCAGTTTTGTCAAAGCCTGAACACTAATAAAAGACCTGAAAGTTGTGGGTACAAATCCTAGTAATGTTAAAATTGGGTGCAATGCAGCCCACGTTACTTTCTTTAGAAGCCCACTGACACAGACGTCAGCAGACACATGAATTT